ATATCATCATAGAGTTACTCACTTTTAAGCTGTTATTAGTTGATCATTTGCATATACGGTTAGCATTTATAAAATGTTTATTAATCTATAATTAGAATTAAAATAAGTAGTTGAATTCCTATTACAGATACTCCTCTGTTTACTTCATATTGAGGAATCAAAATGCGAGTGGGACTCACACAAAATATGAGTGGGATCTAACTTAATTTGCGCCAAGGCTAGGCGCCCAAGGATGATATTGTAAGCTGTGGGGTAGTCGATAATAAGGAAGAGAGTAGTGATTGTCGCCCGCTGGGGTGATGAACCAATAGAAATAAGGAGATAGATACTACCAATGGACTGGACAACATCACCAGAGAAGCTCACAAGAGGTGTGATGCTTCAGTCTAGCAAGTGAGCAGAGACCTGGAGCTCGTTGAAAGCATCAACAAACAGCACACTGACTGAGCTGCTAGTATCCACCAGAATACGTCCAACATCAAAATTAGAAATATCTGCGCAGATAATTAGTGGATCATCATGTGGGAAAATGACACCATGTTCTTCTTCCTCACAGAAGGTGATGGGAGCCCAGCCTAATTTGTGCGTCTTCGGCAAGCGTCCCTAATTGGTGTTGAAGACCTGGTGTGCATAGGAAGAACAGACATAATGTGGCTATCCTCAATCGGCATAGCGGAATGTGGGGTGAAAAAGAGATGGCCTGGCCTGATGGGAGAATGAGCCAGTTGGGCTGGTAGAAAAAAATAGGATTCAGAAGTCGATTCCCACAGACGGCGCCAAACTGTTGATGCTCTTTTTAGGATGTCAACTTAGAGAGAAGTGGATAGTCTTCAGCAGGGGAGAAGGTGAGGACCTTCAGTAAGGGAAGAGCCTGCATAAGACAAAGTAAGAGAAGCAGTCGTCAAGCTTCGGACATCGGTGTGGTGCCTGCCAAATGCTCTCCGATGCTTAAGTCAGCTATGAATGGTAAAATTAGCAGAGTAACAGTAAAAGCGAGAGAGAAGTTACCCTTTTTACTTAGGTACTGTTCCCTATTTATAGGGAAGTGAAAGTGGGAGGTTTGCACAAAGTTTCGATGTGGGACTTTGTGCAAGTCGCTGTGGTGATGACACGTGTCTTAGAGATTAGGTTCGGCAGTCGGGAGGTTCGACAGGTGTCTGGCACCTCGGAAAAGTGTCTTTCTTCGGCAGGGGAGAAGGCGTGTCTGCCTTGGTGCTAATCATTTTGAGGCTGGACATGCTTGGTCGATTATGATGTAAACACAACTCCTGATTTTGGAAGAATTGAAATCTTGGGTGGGAGGTGATATTCTAATTCATGGAGAACGTTCCATTAAGAATTCATCTTTTTTACTCATTATATCCTTACACAATTTTAAAATTTTCCATCTACTTTAACCAAACAACAAGGGCATTTTAGTAGTCAATTTGGTTTCAATTCCAATTTGTGTGAATTTAGTAAACAACTTATAAAGAATTAGTACCGCTCATACCCCAATTTCATACGGTTTAGTAAACAATTTCAATAGAAATTTGGAATCTAATTCTCCTCCATCCAACTTCTACTTAATTCAATTCTTTCTAATTCGATTACAGATTCATGAATATGCTTAAGGTTTAGGGTTGGAATGTGGTTTTTTTTTCCTTCTTATATTAATATCATCATAGAGTTCTTCACGTTCATTTTCAAATTAAATAATTGTCATGACGCTAAGACTTCAACCTTTAATCCATGTCTGCATTTGGCTTGTTAGTTGAGATGTCAAAAATGATTGTATTTCGTCCACCATTTTTTTGTGTGTGGCCATAATTAGGAAGGGAAATTAGGGTTTCTCACACACATTACTAAGATACTATGGAGGTTTAAATTCGAGACCATTAACTACAAGTCAAAGCTCTTTTATACTGGGTGAGACCCCATTAACCACCGATTCATTTGATATCTCAATTAGAGATGTTCTAAAACAAACATTATAAGTGAGCTAATTAATGGTGTAGAGTAGGTAGTTAATACTTGACCTTTTCTTTTGGTGAAGTGGTGCAATCACATAGAAAGAGAGATGAGAGTACAAAAATAACTAATTTTAATAATTCATCAACTTTTTTGACCCACATACTTTGGGTAGAATAAATAGTTGAACATCTATATTCATATAGAAATGATTGTTTAACGAGTTGAGCATACATATTTATATGGTTGAAGCAAGGCTCGAATGTCGAGACATTTTTATCCGAAAAAAGTAGAAGAGTTAGAATTATTTAACTTTTAGTTCTTTGATAAAAAAAAAAGATAAAAAAAAAGAATTGAGGATTCATTAAAGTGAGTCGTTTCATCTAAAGAGCTTGGCTTGTGATAAGTAAGGAGCCAAGCTTTTTTCTCCATCTAAATCAAATTTTTTATTATTGAGAAATTCTGGAATTGCATTAATAATTCAACCAAAAAAAATACTAGCTATAAATGACCATTACAATAATGGAGCGATCTAATATCAAAATTAAGACAATCTATGGCTCTTTCACTAACCATCACGCAAATCGAAGAAATTTTGGAATAGACATCCCAACTAAGAGAACAAACTTAGAATAATAAAAAATAGATAAAGCTTGAAAAAACCAAGCCATAACAATACAAATAAAACTCTCACAAAGGAGAGATAGAAAATTCTTACAAAGGAGAGGTGAAAACTATACAGAAAACCCAAAAAGTCTTTGCAACTTATTCCAAACATAACATCTAATTCATATACAAAGAGTTTCTTGTCCTATGCTTTGTGATAAGTAAGGTAAAAAAATGTAAATAATATAAAAGTCATGGGTCATTGTGAAAGAGACTAGTAAAGAAAAATTAGGTAAAGTAAAAGGTCTGATTTGAAACTTGATCCCAAATTTCAACCAGACAATGAAATGAAAGTGATTTCATTACTACTCATTTCACTCCATTCTCATTCTACTGAAATAGAGCCAAACATGCACAATTTAAGATTAATTTATATACTATTATATAATGTTTTCAGAAATTCAATGTTGATATAATTTTTTTTTTAGAGTAAGCGATAATTGTATTCATAACTTAGGTACCAAGGCCATCAATCACAGGGACATAAACTATCAAAAAAAAAGTTAATACAAATGTGAAAGCATAATAACCACGCAAGGTTATTCCAGATACATAGAAATACATCACATGATATATCTCCACTAATAGTGGCATAAAGCCAAACAAATTTCCGCATGAAAACCGCAAGCCTGAACAAATCAGACATGGACCACAGCACCCAAAACTATCCAATACAACTACAACTTTTAAACTCTAAAAAGAAAAAAAAAATACAAGTAGAGGCTCAACTACAAACAGAACACCCAACTCACAAAGAGTTGGTGTAATTATTACGACCCAAAAAACTCCAAAACCAACCGAGATGACAGAAAGTAGAGTCACTGCCGTCGCCACCACAAAAAAATAGGAACACCACCGTCGAAGTCCAGGTTGAGGGGAAAACCGCAACCACACAGAAACCTACAACAGAAATAACACAAAACCCACATATTTGCAAAAAGAACCCAAACAACACCAAGACAAAGCCACAACGCAAAGGGGCAACATAAGGTGAGAGGGATTGAAATAGATATGGGGCAACAAAACAACTAGAGGAAGGAGATTTATTTAATACAAGCTATAGTATAAACTAGAGATCTAGGTAGGTTAGCATTCTACCCATGAAAATTATTTTTAAAAATTTATTTAATATAAGCTACAGTATAAACTACAAAAGGAGGGAGATTTCTCGCACACACTACAAATATGTCATGAAGATTCAAACCTAAGACCACTAATTTGCAAATTAAGACAATTTTTCGTTGAGCTAGACGATTAGCTTCTACCCCTAAAGTCCTAAGCAGCCACAAGTGAATAGCCATTTATATATCTTAATATAACTGGACTGCAACACTTGAAATGGAATGCCATTTAAATACTTAAATCTAATTCAGATGTAGAATTCTTGTTATCTGCCATGCAATTATGGATGGACATGGAAGCCATTCTGATGTCCTCCAACAATCACATGTAATAAGTAGAGGTAAATTCAACCCCCACCTCACCGTTGGTTGACAGTAACACAAAAAGAATATTCCCACGAGCTCAACACCCGTGGATCCAATTTACAAGCTTTTTTCCACCAAGACAAGAAATAGCATTTCTTATTAAATTCCGAAAAAAGACAATATGCAGCATTTTTTTTTGTATTAATTTAATTTAATTTTTTCCAAGAGAAGCAGAATTATTGAGTGTGGCGTTAACCACAGTTGGTCAGCAAAATACAACACTGGACAATTTTCCGGGGTCAAAATTTAGGGAGGAAAGAACACATGGCTTTCACCGTACACCCTCATTATAGTCCGTTAGATTCAAATCCTAAACCTCATCCTACGGTCATAAAATATATATGACGCTCTTCTTTTTCCACGCTGATTCGCCGAACCCGTCCGCGGGACGAAGATATAAAGAAGCAGTCCCAGTTTGACCGACGACCATCAAACACACACAGGAAAAATTAAAGACACCAAAAAAAAAGACTTAAAAAATATTAAGAAAGTAAAACAAAAAACAGTTGGAGAGAGAGGAGACGACGACTCTCTCTCTCTCTGTCTCACAGAAGACTTTCTTCTTTGTCCTGCTGGTCTTGTTGGTCTATATAAGGCTGACCTGAAACCCATGGCAAAATTATCTCTCTCTCTTTCTTTCTTCTCTCTTCTATTCACATTTTCTCGTTCTTCACCAAAAACCAAGTGCAAAAGTGTGAAGAGTTTTAAGAAGGCAAGAATTAACAATTCATTCTTTGGGTGCAGATTTGATTTTTTCAACTTGAGCAGTCCAAGCTGCTTTGAACATAGAGTTCAACCGGTTTCTAAAATTGGGTTCACCTAATTTGGCTCTGTTTTTCAAACCCATCTGTTGAAATCTCGAGTTTTGAGTGATTTGATCGGTTTTGGGAATTAAAAATGGCGGCGGCGTTAGCCGGAGATGATCTGGCAAGGCAGTCTAGCAGCCGGCGGAGCTGGCGGTCGACGAGTGTTCGGGAAATGTGGAACGCGCCGGACGTGTTTCAGCGGAGTGGGCGGCAGCAGGCGGTGGATGAGGAGGAGGAGCTCAAGTGGGCAGCTATAGAGAGGCTGCCCACTTATGACAGGATGAGGAGGGGGATGTTGAGACAGGCCATGAGCAATGGGAGGGTTATAACTGAAGAAGTTGATGTTGCAAACCTCGGAGCTCAGGATAAGAAGCAGTTGATGGAGAGCATACTTAAGGTTGTTGAGGAGGATAATGAGAGGTTCTTGCAGAGGCTCAGAGCCAGAAATGACAGGTTTGTCTCTATTTCGGTTTTCTGTAGTTTGGTTGATCAGAAAAGCGTGAAGTGAAAAATTAGAGTTGGATTTGAAATTGTGAGAAAAGGGAAATAACTAAAATTTCCAATCTGAAATTGTTTGGTTTGGAGCTTGAGAAAACATAATCACTGCTTAATTGTCTGCATGATTCAATCAACTATAGCCTTCCGGGGAGGTCAAAGTTTAAATCTTTGAAAATAAAACATAAAAGCAGATGATATAAAGATGTATTTTTCCTTTGGTTTGTTGCTAACCATGTTTGATTTGGATGACCTTGTAATTTGTGTTTTACTTTGGAAACAGGGTTGGTATTGAGGTTCCTAAGGTTGAAGTTAGATTCCAGAATGTATCAATAGAGGGAGATGCATATGTTGGCACCAGAGCACTTCCAACTCTGCTAAATTCCACCTTGAATCAACTAGAGGTATTGTTTCAGCGTTTCTTAATCCCAAACCTCACTTCTTAATCTTGCTTCTGCTAGTGAATCTTAGGTTTCTAAATTTCTATATCTGTGAATAGGGACTAATTGGATTGATTGGACTCTCACCGTCAAAGAAAAGAGTTGTCAAGATACTCCAAGATGTGAGCGGTATTATTAAACCATCAAGGTATGCTCATGGGTTTCCATATCTAAGATCTTTGCAGGACTAGTACAAGTTTTGTTGCATCAATGAAAAAAATCTAGTCAGTTATCATAAACAAAGTCATTTGTTCCTCTGAAAGAAGATGGAAACTATTTTATTGGTATGCTACTCATGCGAGGTAGTTTTGTTTCTGAACTCCATCATGAGCTTATTGTTTTGTTTCTCAGGATGACACTGCTTCTTGGACCTCCATCGTCAGGAAAAACAACACTGCTAAAAGCACTTGCTGGAAAGCTTGATAAGGATCTAAGGGTTTGTCATCCTCTCTATCTCCTTAGGTTTTTTTTATCAGTTTATGTCAATTGTATTAGTGTGCATACATGTACACTGTTAGCATGTATTAATAAGTTGGGGTTATAAACAGGAAACTGGGAAAGTGACCTACTGTGGCCATGAATTCAAGGAATTTGTGCCTCAGAGAACCTCTGCTTATATTAGTCAGCATGATCTTCATTATGGTGAGATGACAGTTCGTGAAACATTGGATTTCTCTGGACGTTGCCTGGGAGTTGGAACCAGGTATGATATGCTTGTAGAGTTGTCTAGACGGGAGAAAGATTCAGGCATCAAACCAGATCCTGAGATTGATGCATTCATGAAAGCCACATCTATGACAGGCCAGGAAACTAGTTTGATCACAGATTATGTTCTCAAGGTTTGTTGACTCAGTTAGAAGGTTGTCTCCTTGGCTTTCGTATTCTTATTGTACAAGGCTAACGTCTTATAATTATTTTGATAGATACTTGGACTTGATATCTGTGCTGATATTATGGTGGGTGATGACATGAGAAGGGGCATATCTGGTGGACAAAAGAAACGTGTAACTACTGGTATGTTACTCTGTCATGGAATTTTTGCTTGTTTACTTTTAAAACATTTCTTAGATTTTCTATATGCTTAGGCACCAATGCGGTTTATGTCCACTGGACCTTTTATTTCTTACAACCCTTTTTAGTCTGGCTTCGCAGGGTAGGAATGATAATTAAGGTACAAACATATGTCCTTGTATTATAATCTGTTGTGTTTGCTCTGAATGCAGGAGAAATGTTGGTTGGACCAGCGAAAGCATTTTTCATGGATGAAATATCAACAGGGCTGGACAGTTCCACAACCTTTCAGATTGTGAAGTTCATGAGACAGATGGTTCATATCATGGATGTGTCTATGGTCATCTCTCTCTTGCAACCAGCACCTGAGTCTTATGATCTTTTTGATGACATTATCCTTCTTTCTGAGGGTCAGATTGTCTACCAAGGCCCACGTGAGAATGTTCTGGAATTCTTTGAATTTATGGGGTTCAGATGCCCAGACAGAAAGGGTGTTGCTGACTTTTTGCAAGAAGTGACCTCAAAGAAGGACCAAGAACAATACTGGTATAAGAAAAACCAACCTTATAGATATGTCTCGGTATCTGATTTCGTTCGGGCTTTTACGACTTTCCATGTTGGCCAACGGCTTGTGGAAGAACTAAGAGTTCCATACGATAAACGAACAGTCCATCCTGCTGCATTGGTGAAGGAAAAGTATGGAATATCCAATATGGAGATCTTCAAGGCATGCTTTGCGAGGGAATGGTTGCTGATGAAGCGTAACTCTTTTGTATACATATTCAAAACTACCCAGATAACAATCATGGCTACAATTGCTCTGACGGTATTCTTAAGAACAGAAATGAAAGCTGGACAAGCAGGAGATTCGGCAAAATTTTGGGGAGCACTGTTTTTCAGTCTCATTAACGTCATGTTTAATGGAATGGCAGAGCTTGCCATGACAGTTTTCAGGCTTCCTGTGTTCTTCAAACAAAGGGATGCTTTGTTCTTCCCTGGCTGGGCCTTTGGCTTGCCCATTTGGCTAACCAGAATTCCCATTTCACTGATGGAATCTGGGATATGGATCATTTTGACATACTACACCATTGGATTTGCACCTGCTGCCAGTAGGTAAGCTTTAATTTATCAGCAATATTATTCTTGGAAGCTTTAGTTTTTTGATACTAAATAAATGATGAAGGATATTGCAACCTAGTTAATTTTTAATCTGACATATGCCAATATGTTCAGATTCTTCAAACAGTTCTTGGCTTTCTTTGGTATACACCAGATGGCTCTCTCCCTCTTCCGCTTCATTGCTGCCCTTGGTAGAAGTGAGGTTGTTTCGGGCACAATTGGTTCTTTTACATTGCTACTCGTGTTTGTCCTAGGAGGTTTTGTTGTTGCTAAAGGTTAGAAATCCTTCTCATTTCAATGTCAAAGCTACTGCATTGACCAATTTGATACCAGCACTTTCTATGGACTTCTGAATAATTGCATTAATGACTGTTATTCCTTTCATATATTTTCAAATGTTCACAATATTCCATTGTGTTGTGCAGATGACATTTTGCCATGGATGATATGGGGCTACTATGTTTCACCTATGATGTATGGGCAAAATGCAATTGCTATCAATGAATTTCTTGATAAAAGATGGAGCTCTGTAAGTTCTCTTAAGCCTTAAATTGAATTCTCAGTATACCTTGAAAATAAAATTAATTAATTTTTTTTATAAATCTAAGTTGATGTGTGTGTGAACTTAATGAACTTTTTAATCCCTTTCCACAGCATGTCAACGGCACCATTGATGACACAGTTGGAAAGGTACTTCTGAGGGAAAGAGGCCTGTTTACTACAGAGACTTGGTATTGGATTTGTGTTGGAGCACTCTTCGGGTTTTCTCTTCTTTTTAATGTTCTTTTCATTGGAGCACTGACCTTCTTAGATCGTAAGTGAACAATTTTCATTTGTCATTAGGTATAGTTATGGTAATGGATAAAGCACTGATTATTTGTTTCTTTTTTACTCAATTTCAGCTCTTAGTGAAACTAAAACTCTAATTGAGAATGACGACGACTCTGAAAGTAGGAAGAGGCGACAATCCAATCCAGAAGGTAAATAATAGGAGTTTCTAAAAGATGACACGTGCTTTATACATTTAGAGAAGTAGCCATTTTGCATCATTATGCTAGCTAGATAACATTATGCATCATTCTTTTTTTATGTCATGTGGCAGGACAAATTCTATTGCATAACAATTACTTCTTGAGCGTTAGCTTTGCTATCAAATTATTTTCTACGCCTAATAAATAGTGATCAATGGCAGGTATTGATATGCAAGTCAGAAATGCTCAAGGAATTGTTAGTGCCGAAAATAACCAAGCCAAACGAGGAATGGTTTTGCCCTTCCAGCCCCTCTCACTTGCTTTCAACCATGTGAATTACTATGTGGATATGCCTGCCGTAAGTAACTTGCACATTTTTCCTCTGAGGTCTGAAGTTTTAATTTCAAGAATCTATATGGGAACTTATCAGAAGAAGCCAACACGGAATTGGAAATGAGACAGTGTCTTCTCTTCATATATAGTAGAAATATTTTACTTTAAAGCATTTTGCATAATTCGCTTTAGTTTAGGTTGACTTTTTTTTAATGAACAGTTCCGCTGATTTAAGTCATGAATTCTAGAGCATATGATATAAAACAAATGTCGTGGTTTAATGTGATTCTTCTTGGTAACAATTTTTGTGTCCTCACCAGGAAATGAAGACCCAAGGGATTGAAGAGACCCGACTGCAACTTCTACGAGATGTTAGTGGTGCATTTAGGCCGGGTGTTTTGACTGCATTAGTTGGTGTCAGTGGTGCTGGAAAGACCACCTTGATGGATGTCTTAGCTGGAAGAAAGACCGGTGGCTATATTGAAGGAAGTATTACGATCTCTGGTTACCCAAAGAACCAAGCCACATTTGCCCGGGTCAGCGGTTACTGTGAACAGAATGACATTCATTCACCATTTGTTACTGTCTATGAATCTCTCCTATACTCTGCCTGGCTACGTATTTCCAAGGATGTCAAGACGGAGACACGAAAGGTATGCTATTTATTTAACACCTAAAACAGTTCTAACCTTTAATTTCTGATAATACAATGTAATGTGTCTACAGCAGTCTTTTTCACCTAAAAAGAAGTCATAGTTAATTGCCAAAATGACAATCATGTTGCTCCATATTTAAGAACAGGATGAGATGGATGATGTTGCTGACCCTGATTTTCTTTTTCTTATCTTTAGATGTTTGTTGATGAGGTTATGGACTTGGTGGAGCTTAACCCATTGAGGAATGCTTTAGTTGGACTTCCAGGAGTTGATGGACTTTCGACTGAGCAGAGAAAGAGGCTCACCATTGCTGTAGAATTAGTTGCCAACCCTTCCATCATCTTTATGGATGAGCCAACGTCAGGTCTTGATGCTAGAGCAGCTGCAATTGTTATGCGTACTGTGAGAAACACTGTGGATACAGGACGAACTGTTGTCTGTACAATTCACCAACCTAGCATTGACATTTTTGAAGCATTTGATGAGGTATGATTTGATTTTTAATCTGTTAAATCTGTAGCATTGTTCATTATTTTAAGTACTATATTTCACATTAGTTTTGTTTTGCATTGCAGCTTTTCTTAATGAAAAGGGGAGGACAGGTGATTTATGCAGGTCCTCTAGGTCGCCAGTCTCACAAGCTTGTTGAATACTTTGAGGTAAGTTTATGCTCAAATCATTATCCATGGATCCAAAAGTTAATAGTTGGTCTAAACCTGACTTAGACCCAACTTCAGTCAAAAAAATCTTTCAAACATCAATCTCACGTAATCCATATACATCTCACTCCCAACATATTTATTTGTGGGCTTTAATTTGTTGTTATGCAATTGCAAGTTTCTAGAACCATGAATAATATTAAGGATCAAATATGTTTCAATCGTCGAAAAAGTTGTCCTCTACCAAGGGGTTTTATAGTTAAAAGTTTGACTTTATCTATTGCACCTTGCAGGCTATTCCAGGGGTTTCCAAGATCAAAGAAGGTTACAATCCTGCTACCTGGATGTTAGAGGTCAGCTCTGCTTCAATTGAAGCTCAAAATGATGTGGACTTTGCAGAAATATTTGCAAACTCTGATCTCTATAGGTAAGTTGCATGTAACTTCGTTTTTCCTCATTTCTATCATTGCCACCCACTTGTTGTTGTGTGTTAAATTTTTCTTCATTTTTGTTTAATTTGTTCAGGAGAAATCAGGAACTTATCAAGGAACTAAGCGTACCAGAACCAGGCTCCAAGGATCTTTACTTCCCCACCCAATACTCCCAAAGCTTTTTAACTCAGTGCAAGGCTTGCTTCTGGAAACAAAACTGGTCATACTGGAGGAACTCACGGTACAATGCCATTAGGTTTTTCATGACAATTTGCATCGGAGTATTATTTGGTATTATCTTCTGGGGCAAAGGAGATGATATGTAAGTTTAAGAACTTTATTATGAGCTGCATCTTTCGTACATATTATTCTTTGAATTTTGTGATTCAGTTGCATGTTCTTTGCTATAAGTGTCATGTATATGATGTTTAACTGTATATTATCTTGTGAACAGACACAAGCAACAAGACCTGATTAATCTTTTGGGAGCTACCTATTCTGCTATTCTTTTCCTTGGAGCTAGCAATGCTTCTGCTGTGCAATCCGTGGTTGCGGTTGAACGAACAGTTTTCTATCGTGAAAGAGCAGCGGGAATGTATTCAGAGTTGCCGTATGCATTTGCTCAGGTAAGATATTGGAAGTTATGCTTGGTTACGTCTTAGCTTTTATATAACATTAAATCTCGTATCTTTGTTATTGATACATATATTGGTGTTGTAGGTGGCTATTGAGACAATTTATGTTGCAATCCAAACCTTTGTCTATTCCTGTCTTCTATTTTTCATGATCGGGTACAATTTTAAGGTGGAGAAGTTTCTGTACTTCTATTACTTCATATTCATGTGCTTTACCTACTTCTCAATGTACGGGATGATGGTGGTTGCCCTAACTCCTGGCCATCAAATTGCTGCAATTACTATGTCTTTCTTCTTGAGCTTCTGGAACTTGTTCTCTGGTTTCCTCATCCCCAGGCCGGTATGTCATTTGAAACTCATTTGTTCTTATACCAATGATTAATCTTGTTCCAAACCATCTCTTTTATTTCTGCAATCATAACAATTGAATCTCACTCTTGCAGCTAATTCCCATCTGGTGGAGGTGGTACTACTGGGGTTCTCCAGTTGCTTGGACAATCTATGGCATCTTCACATCCCAAGTTGGTGACATAAAGACAGAGATCATAGTTAATATTGACCAAAGAAAAGCTGTTGATGTATTCCTTAAAGAGTTTTTAGGTTTTGAATACGATTTTCTGATCCCTGTTGTCATTGCTCATGTTGGTTGGGTCCTCCTCTTCTTCTTTGTCTTTGCATACGGCATCAAGTTCTTGAACTTCCAAAGGAGATAAGCAAATTCACTGTGCGGCAGTGAAGAACCTTAAGAATGTGAAATAGATAGCTTGAGTGTACAACATTATAATTAGAGAGACAAAATTTGTCCTCTCTTTTTGTCATTTCATTTTTGCTTTTGCTTCATACGTTTGTGTAATTTAGTTTGTCTTGGATACCTTTTCCTTAATACTTTGTATAGCTATTTTTATTCTTGAATATTTAATAGAAGGACCTTGTGAATGTTCTTTTCAACAAAAGATGTCTTCAATCTTGTCATAACTTAAAAAGGTTCATGGTTTACTGCTATATTTTCCCCCACGGGAGGCCTGATGAGTAAGAATTTATTCAACCAAAGAATTCAGTAATGCCTCACTTGAGCTGAACAAAGAAACAGTAGATAATAGGCAGATTCTAATACACTTGAGCTCTGAGAGGTTGCCACAAGAAAGTGGCAATATCAGTGCCCTCTTTATTTACACGAAGAAAACAATAAGCAAGTGATATGGTCTTACATTACTTAGTAGACAAATCATTGCATAACCAATATCTCATAAACTTGAGCTGATATGAGCTTCGCATAAGAAAGTTGCATCAGCATTCTCATCATTGCAATAGAGACAAGGGTGCTGCTCAAAGCCTTGTTCTCTCAAAACTTGTCTAGCAAGCATCACAACCTGTCTATTGCTTAGGTCAGCCTCATGCTCCTTCAACACCATTTGAACTGCATTGCTGAATGCACCACATGCCTTTCCTCTAGTCATGACCGGGTTTGTCATGTCAGCAGAAGTCTCATTTGTTTGACACCCGCTTAGTAAGATTCCCTCATCAGGGTTCGATGACTCGAACATGTTGAGTAGTTCGAGCGGAGGCAAACGAAACTTGAGGCTGGCATCTGCTGCAAACAACTCTAACAAGTGGGTTGCAATGTCAGATGTGTTTATGCTTGTCAATGATGCGAGGTAGTGTAATATGGACTCAAAAGGAATGCCCTTAGGCTTAGAGGAAACTGATGGGGATGTGTTACTAATTTCAGTGACATGAGAAGGTCCAATCTGCTCTTTCTCCTTGTCAATGAGCCCTCCACTGTGGCATGAGTCCGACAGGATTGTAAAGCTTGCTCCCTTTGGCAAGCGGTTTACTAGTTGTCTGAAATCCACATCTGCACATAAAAGTTACCAATAAATTAACCACGTTATTTTCACCGACTTCCAAGTTTACAACTCGTCTCATACTCACACTTGCTATCCGTGCATGTTGTAATTAGTTATATATTTAACTAATTGAACAATAGCAAAAATGCATGAGGGTCTTACTGTGAATCAGGAAAAGATAGCACATTGTAGACCACATCTCTATAATAGAGGTGGGATGTATAAAGCGAAATCTCACCTCTATAATTACTCATTAGAACATTAAATTACTAAAATTAACATGTATACAAGAGATTAAACAATTGAACAATTAGATTAAAAGCACCCACCAGTGATGAGATTGAAATCACAAGGCACAATAGCCTCATCCTGCCTGAAGGGGTTGCCTGGCTTCAATGAAGGGATCCTTGTTCCATGGCCACTATAGTGAAAATACAAGACATCACCTGGCTTAGCTTGATCAACCATTGCACCAAGTGCCTTCTTAATATTTGCACCTGTGGGCATGACTGAGGAAGAAGAACCTGCAGCTGCAGCATCAGTCAGCAGCTGAATGTTTCCTGGATCAAACCCGAAGCGATTCACAAGTGTGCCTCTCATGGCCACCACATCATTTATGCAACCATGCAGCTCATTTCTGGTGTTTGGGTAATTGCAGCCCACCAAAACTGCCAACCTCTTCTTGTTTTCATTCTCCATAATTATAATTTGCAGGCAATAATCTGAGTGTAATTTGTAGACCAAGAAATTAATTTTGTCACCCAATTTACAAGTTTTTGTGTCTGCGATTTGGTCTCTTCCTAAGTTTTGGTTTTATACATATTGTTGCTGGAGTGTCAATGCCTCGCTTGAAATTTCATTCAAGTTACATTGGCATGCTTTGGATTGGCTTCCAAGCCTGGGAAGGTTTCTGCATTTTAAAGTCTAGTCCTTCTTCCTTTCAAGCATTAGAAAATAAAATAAAATAAAATAAAAAATTCGGTGAAAATAATAAGTTAACAAAGCCTCGCAAATAAAAAGTGGAATTGTCTCTCTTCATCATTTGTGGGAATAAATTCCCAGTTTTTTTTTCTTTGAATACATAGAATTTGCTACTTCTATATTTTCTTTACAGGACTTATGCTCTTTCTCACCCTAGGTTTTCTATTATTTGGGTGAACATGATTTAATTTCCAATGCCCATGGAGCTAGTTACTCATTCGACTCGATATGTTCATACTCTTCTTGGTTAGAACGTTTTTGTGTTTTAAGATTGGAGAAAGAAAATATGTAAATTTTAATAAGGTGCTTTGTGGAGAACAAAAGTAAAGTAGACCGTTGTAAAGTAAATCAAAGAAGAGGTCCAAAATGTCCTATTATAATATAACTATCTTAAAAGCAAAGCATGTGATTCGTCGTTTTGTGCATTTCACGTTAAATATTTGA